GGTTCCCGGGACCGCCCACCGCTCTCGGTAAACACAGGCGCAGGTATAATGCGTCCGCCAGTCGGCCGCTTCCAGCAGCCGAATGAATTATTCAGCCGCTCAACAGGGCCGCGGGCACCGTGATTTAATGCCGCGCCGGCGGCGCTGGCTGCGCGGCCGACTGCCACCGGTGTGTCGCATTAATTTGTCATAGGCGCGCAGATTATTGGAAGTTGGCGCGACCGACGCGACCGACCGCGTTCGCGCGTCGGCGCCGTCGATCTGCGGCCGCCGCGCCGTCGCGCCGACGAGAGGGGTGTGGGGTGGGCAGCGGCGGACGACAGCGGCGCGAGATATTCACATGGGGAGGGAGACCTGGGGGGGGGGGGGGGGGGAGAGGCTGACGGCGCTCCGCCGGGCGGTTTGCGGGTGTCTGATGTGGAAATATGAGCCCTGGCACGACGCAGCCATGTGAACGGTTTCCAATCAAATCGAAGCTCGGCGAGATTTATAACTTGGTAATGACGTGACGGCTAATAACTGACGAGATTGGGTTGATAATTATGGCTTATGACCCTGCCATCATTAAGAAGATTGCACCATGGCAGCAAGAGCACGGGTACCTGAAATGCGACGGGTCCTATTTGTTTATTGAAACTAGCCAAAAACGTATGATATGCCCAGGTACGGCTAAACCCCGGTTATCTTTGATCACGGCTCAGATGTGCAGTACAGTCGGCCTTGATACTCCTATTTTACATTCGCATAGATATGAGGTAAAAGACATTCAATGCGATAAACGTGATACGCCTTAGTGTTGCAATGCCTAAAACTGAAAGCGGCAAAAGAATGGATTGCATTGTAAAAGGAGTTGTACGGATTTAGCGGGATTCATAGCCAGGTTGAATAGGATACATAGTTGCTACAGTAAGGACGGCAATTAAGCAAAAAAAAAACTGGGCAAAACAGTCAAACCAGTCCTCCGGTATATTCTTTTGGAATGGACGTCAATAGAGCTTCCTTCCCCCAAAACGGTGTTGAATCCCTACTCAGCCCATCATATGTAAGGTATACTACTACCTCCCGGCCCAACGAAAGGTACCAAATGCTTTACGAACACATGCCGCAACTTTCCACCTAACTAACCCAGTGACGAGTATTCGGCAGGAATAATCCTCACACGACACTCAACAGGGTATTGTTCAGTCTGATTGTCACATGTAATTATTGAGCTCGAGATGGTGAGATAAAAGACATTTAAATACAATAGACACACAGAAAAAAGACATTCAAACAGCAGCGATTCTAGGAGATTGCGCATCACGCTCAAGAAGTTCCGGACAGAAATAAGGCATGTCTCTCACGAGCATGGTACGCAGGGAACTCCAAATGAATGTCATCAGGCGGCATTGTTACGAGTGAGGCCGCAGGCCCCACGTGTCTTAACGCCAACCGGAAAACTTCAGCTCCAGCGGCCCGGCCCGGCCCGGCCCGGCCCGGCCCGGCCTGGCCCGGACAGGCCAGGCCCGGCCCGGACCGGCTCGACGCATACCGGCTTGTCGCGCCTGCGACTGGTTTGCAAATTTGCAGTTGTAAAAATGTTGTTATTCTCAATAAACAATGTAGTGATGTCCAGACATTTGCATGCAAGTTGTTGGGTCAAACTACATTTGCATGAAGTTCCGCCATGTTGTCATCATTTCACCTCTCCACACCACTGGCAAGAGCAAACGCAAAGTTCTCAAACTGCAAAAAGTGAGAGCGCATGTTGGGACCGCGTTCGGATCTCACGTCTCACCACACGCTGCAGCGATGTGAGTCCAACGCATTCTGACGGCAGGAGAAGTGCACGATCGCATCGGCAAGTCTGGGTCGATGTGTGCAAACTGGCAAGTGCGACCACACGCATAGTACGGGTCCCGCCCTTTCCTACCCTTTCAGCAACTCATGTCAGGCCTCATCAACTGGATCAGGCGAACACGCGGAACCAGCTGCGCGGTGCGGCAGGTGTACGTCTAGAAGTCAGCAAGTGATGTTTCAGCAATGTCCGAACGGTGGACGTGTCAGCAGTAAACCGGAGGGCGACCAATCAAACCACGCGCTAAGAAAACCACCCCGAAAACAAGGTGATGAGGCCTATAACGAAAGACCGTGAAAGCCAAGCAGGTATGCGCCCTGTTCACTGTGACCATTTCGTGCCAAGCATATTTTCATTATTCGCAGCACTTCGGTCACGATTGCTAAAACGCGGCTCACTGCAACAGTATCGACTCAGCTTACAATTGTCAAGTCTCCCCAGGCCTGAAGTCAGTTAATATTCGAATAATATTATTTTGAAATGTCAGCGAGGTTTCACATCTCTACACTTTTGCCTGCTTAGCACATGAAAAATAAAGGGGGATATTTCAGCGTATTAATGGGCTCATTCGTGAGGGTTCCTAAAGTCACCCGTCTTTGTTCACTTACGTTTTGGCATTATCTGTGAGCTCAGCGGTGATAACACAAGTCTGTCGTGACCCCACTCGTCACACACCGTGAGAGACGTGTTACCGCTAGACAGCAAACAAATCAGGTACGCCACTGCAGCTCACTCCGAGAAGACGCCAGGCGTCTTCTCGGAGTGAGCTGCTCGGAGTGAAGAGCAGGCCCTGCTCTTCACGATCGACGGTGCTACTTCCGTTATATGGTATTAAAGTGACTGAGTGAAACTCGCTTGTCTTATTTATGACGCATACATTTGATCTACGGTTACGTCGACAATAATTATATGGCCTTTCACTGAACCATCAGGACCCTCGAAAACGATATAAACAGCTGGGGTCGGTTCCAGCCGACTGGCTGAGATTTCGACAAGTTTATGACAGTGCCATGACTCCGCGACGCATTAGCTAGCTGTTGCATGCGTTCGTCGAGTAGAGACAAGAAATCGGAACTTCAATTTCTAATGTCCTTTCCGTACCATCCTCAAGTATTCCATGCCTGTAGCTGGCCGAAAACAGTTGTCCATTCGCCACCACTTCAAATAATTTGACAAATTGCATGGACGCCTCCGGTTTGTTGAACAGTTCAACGCATTCGTGTTCCACTGGAACCTTCCACTCTGGTTACAGCAATGGCAGCTTTCAAGCCAATGAGCAGCATTATGCAATCAACTTGGGATGTAAGCTGCGAGAACGTTGTTTTGAAGCGCGCAACTAATACACTTGACACCATACGAGGAAAGCTTCCATCGTGCTGAGTAACTCCCTGAGATTACTGCAAAGAATGAAAACAGCAACAGGCTATCTCTGAAATACGCAAGGGGCTTGGGATGGATTGGTAAAAAGCTGTCCATCACCATAAGTTAACTACCCAAAACATCCATCTTTTGCACCACGACTAAGGCTTAATGTTGGAAGTGGTAGCCCGAAATCACCTCAGACCGTTGTGCATCAAACACCGCGTGGATATTCACCGCGAAGGCTGGGCTCCCGAGTCTTGAGCGCCCCGCCTTCAAAACACGGCGGCGGCATTCCGGACAGGCTCGTCTGGCGGCGTCCCGCGCCGCAGCCACCTCCACCTCCAGCGCCGGAGCCACCTCCACGCGCTGCGCCAAGTCGTGCCCGGGACGCGATTGAGCGCAAAGTGAAACAGACGACGGCGCGCGTGAGGGCGGAGCCTGTCTCGCGCCTGCTGCCCTCGGTGGCTGACGCGTGAGGTTTATGATCTCATCCGAACATTAGGGATCGGAGAACAATGTGTTTGGATTCCGAGACCGTAAAAGACAGGTAACCCCAATAAAACCTGTGACCATATATGGGCTCGGTCGCTTTTTCAGTCTCAGAGTGCTGTCCGTTTGTCGGTAAATCTGACGCGGCGTGGGAACGAAAAATGACGCGGCGACCGAACGTGCGCGTGCCTTCCCCGAGCCCCTCGAGGGCTTTCGGTCACGCCGGGGTTATGGGAGAGTGATGACCCCGACTAGGGGAGTGATTGCAGCCCACTGAGGGATTTTCACAGAGCTCACGCGCACACAGCATGTCAGCGGAATGCAGGGGCGGGTAAATGCCGGCTGTCACAGGCAGCCATCAGGCGTCATCTACGCTAAGCCGGTGTGGAGCAATGTTATGGGCCCGGTAACCAACGGAGTTCACTATGCAACAAGGAATGGAGAAGCATGGCTTTACAGGACCTACATGCAGTTTTACGAGTCACTGATAGTGTCCGGTGGTGAACAGCACAGCTGGGTATTACTCGAATTCGGACAATTGAAGCGCCTCACTCATTGTGCGTGCTCCAGAAGCGTCTTTCATGTTGCATTGCCATTCACCTAACAGCGAAAAACGTCCGAAAAGTCAACAGTACACACGCAAAGCACGACCGGACGTAATCGCCATTTCGGCTCCCGGACTGCATCTGAGTGCAAACCAGCGCGCATTATAAGGCATGAAACGAAACACCCGAGTGCATCCAGCTCACTACGTGCGTTATTTCAGTGAGCATTCCCGCCATCTTACAGGAGAAATCGGCTTAGGTTTAAGATTACGGATACGCGGAAACGGTAATTGCATTATCACCTCAAGTGTACTTCGAAGCGACTTAAACGCCCACTTGCCTCATATGCTCCATAACAAGTCATTAACATTGTCCGCGCCTGGCAATCCACCAGCACTGGGAATCATCACATCTGAACGAAATGCATGCATCCTTTTGCAGCATTCCAGTTTGGTAGCAAGCTAATGCCGCTGCACAAACTTTTGATAAGTTAAATAACCAGCTAGTGAAATAGCCAGCGGGAATTGTAATCGCCACTGATGTTATCGCAGTGCCACGGACAACGAATGAGAGAGAGGCACGCAGACCGTACGGGATAGGCAGAGATTAATTAAACACCGACCCAGCACTGCCCCACAGACCGCCAAGGCACCGAGTTCCAAACCACGCCGATGCAATTTTAGCCGTAAGGACGGTGTGAGAAGATATCACGGTTACCCAAAGTCTATCGTTCAGCACGCGCAAGACAGCACCCCGGGGTGACTCACCGTTCCGTGTGGTGACACACGAGATGAGATGCCGGTGTTGGCGCGCTCTGAAGAAGCTCGCTCCACGCAGCCGCGAGCTCACGGACCCGCGTGGGCCTTTCGTGTTCTCCGCACCACAGCTGTACAGACTGCAGGCCCTCAGCAACGACACCACCTGTCTGGCGCCACGGGCTCGCGCCCCGTCCCCGCCGCTCGTCTTCCAACTGCGCGCTCGTGCTCTCGCGCAACACCGGCGCACCACCTCCTGCGCGTGCAATCAACGGGAGCCGCAGTTTGTCTCCTCACGCCGCCGTCCGTGCTAGCTCGCGGGACGCTCACCGGCGGCTCGCCACTCAGCAGCAGAGCACACCGTTCCCACCAGCGCACCGTGCTCCACACTCGGACAGCTCGCGCGCGCCTCCCGCCTCCTCCGGACGCCCGGCCGGCACTGCGGCGCCGCGGACTGGGCTGGTCCGCGGGGTTCGCCGCCGGCCGGGCCGACTGCTACCGGCCGGCGCGCGGCGGCCGGCCACGGCAGAGGAGGAGAGAGGGGAAGCTGGGCCGGCGGCTGGGAGGCTGCAGGGGCAGAGACCATGCGGTCTGAGACGACGGCTGGGACGGAGCGCAGACATGAGTCAGACAGGACACAGGCAGGCACAAATCAGACACAGGTATAGCAGGCCGACAGGGGCAGAGGGCAGACGCAAGGCCCGGCAAACGGTGCGGGTGGACGCAGAAGCCAGTCACGAAGCGGACAGACGGCAGCGTGAAAACGAGAACTGTTGGCTGCCAAAGGAGACGGCGTGAACAGCGGCAGGTTGCAGCCACAACTCGAACGGATTATGGGAGAGTAGGGCAAGCACATAACTGACTGAAAAGGGCGATATCCGTTAGCGCTCTCTGTGGACAGGCTGGCCAGGGCTTACCGTCAACATGTCAGCCGCTGGGGCAAAGGGCGGTCTCCTGGCGGGTTGGTCGTTCGCAAATCTGACGGCGCGGTGGCCAGCCGAACGGCAATGATAAATGAAGGTCGGTTCGGTCTCCAGGCCCAACGACTGTGATCATTAGGACTGCTGGGTAGAGATCTGCCCGGGGGTTGAGAGTTCCAGCTGGGCCTCGAACTCCGGAGCTGCTGGCTAGTCTTGTCTGCCGAGGGTCAGAGATGAACCCTACAGCGGCTCGGAATCAAAACACTAATTGCTAGCCCTGATAGGACCTTCCTGTAGAGTAGATTGAGATCAACGATCTGTTTCGGCCTCCAGAATCCTATTTCATCGCCCTCTTCTTATCCATGATTCATTGTCTCTTTTGTCCATCATCATCACTGGCTTATGAGGCCATCCTAGCTTTATAAATCGACTGCTGGTTGGTGGCGGTCGCGTATTCGCTCCACTAACCTGGGACAGGAGGCCCCGGAGTTTCCTGGAGCATACCAAACATCGATCAAACGGCGGAGGCGGAGTGTGAAAAAATATGCAGTGCAACACCTCCTGGCATGTTATCTCCGTCATCTATTTCGTAAAAGTACGAATGGAGGTTGGAATTCATTCCATCATTTTTGCTCCAGATAAAAAGAATCAAAGCAAAACACTGTAAAGGAATATGTCTGGGCTGCAGGTTGGAAATAGGAGTGTTTTAGCGTGTAGCGCTACGGCTCTTGGGAAAGTTTCCCGTTTTCATCGTTGCCCATTATCACTTGTCTCACAAGATGTTCTGCGAAACCTTCGTGCCATATTTACATTGAAGCAGAAGTCGCTAATCCCTGCCGAGCATTCAGACCGGCAAGCGCGCTCAAAACCAGACCTGCTTCTGAAGCGCACGTGTCGCCTGCGTTCGCACCTGCTCCCTCCCCCCCCCCCCCTCCCCCTCCTCCTAGGTGATGGGCCGGAGCCAGCGAGCCCTCGGGGCTGCCTGGTGATCGGACGCTGACACCGCGGCCATCTCATGGAGTGCCAATCAGGGCAGCGAGATCTGCTCAGTAGCCCGGACACGACGGCCGTGCCGTCATGGGCTCGAAATTGGACTGCAAGTGCAATGGGTCGGTGCGGAGTTCACGTCCCCAGACTATATCTGATGACATTGTTGCATTTGCCGGGTGTTGTTTGCTGGTGCCTGATGCTTCTGAGACAACCTGCACACAGCTGAAGCTATCACAAAGCAATGTCTGATGTCAAACGTTCATTCAGGAGCAGAACAAAAACTGAGCTGAACGGCTATTTGTCAGCCTCAGATATGAGCGAGAGTGTCAATTGGTCAGCTTACTCATACCTGTGGCTGTTTGTCTAACCCGATCAGACCTACTTCCAGAGCCGTCCAAACGTAGCCACGAAGTCAAACGGAAGGCCGGCTGGGCGGCCTCGTCACCCAACTCCAGCTGCTCTGTCTTCGAGCCATCAGGCCCGATTGCCGATAACTTTGGCATAAAAACTGGTTTACGCTTGCTCGCCGCAGAAGAACAGACCTGGTTCGGTCGAGTTCGACCCGCTCTTCCGCCTGTGCCGGCCGCATTCCGTCCGCCAGATTCGAACGTTCGGCGCCTTATCTCCAGTCGGACGGTCCGTTCTTTGTATGCTTCATTATAACTGTATTTGCAGAACAAGGCTTTGATTTACCTACCTCTTATCTGTTGGACGCTCTCTTTGTTTCCTTGAGCGTTCATCTGCGGGATGTTCGCCCCATGGGTATCGTAATGCGATAGGTCAGCCCGGGAAGTCCACCTTAAACATGGCCTACCGTCGGACGTGAAAAATGATTCCGTATTCTTGTAAAGAACGACCCAAATCGATTTCTCCGAAACCCCATCACCTCTTCATAGCGAGGACTCTTCTCGATTCTCTCCCGGGTCGCGCTGATCTCTGGCCATTACGTCCCTTCCTTTCTCTGTAAGCCGCCTTACGCCCTTTGTTGTCGGCTCTACCTGGCTCCGATGATCTGCGCCTGACCCTCTCGCTCTCGCTGCCTCCGGGTGCCGGGCGCCACTGGTTACCGGTGCCACCCTGGGGTCAGCTTGTGGCCGGCGTAATTTGTCACGGTTTCACGCGCTGCCCGCCGATTGCCGCGGCAGACAAAAGAAGCCCTTCCGGTGCGATAATTGTCCGTTCAATACAGGCGATTTTCGCGAGACACGGTCTTCTTGGCGCCTCATCCTGTGTCATATTTCCTAACAACTGGTGATCGATTGAGGTGTGATAACTCGGGAGCTGATCGTTTATTCATTTCATGGGCACTTATCCTGACAAAAAGAATCACGAAGCGCTGATGATCCACGTAGATAAATAAAACACCCCCGTTTGGCACCTTCGACGTTTTATTGATGGCCAGTATCTCGTAATGCATGGCAGAGATCAGCAAATCCATTGCGAACCACAGATCGCTCATTTTTGGAAATAACGCTGCGTCACTGCGCCCCGGTAACGACTTAAATCAATCAAAATGTATTTCGGTGGCTCCGCTCCAAACTTGGAACTGCGTGTCAGTACCACAATTTCCCAATCGGTGTCCGTACACATGAATTATGTACGTCTAATATGACTTACACAATACAAAGCGTCTGAATATATACAGGATCCCCACAGCATTTCGCCACCTTTTCTTTGCTGAAGCTGCTCAGAGCTGTTTGCCAGCTGTCAGGTAGCGAAACGCGCCTCCCTAAAACCCATGGTAATATAGCCGAAACACACCTTGTATCACTCACGCTTGCTTACACCCGAAGCACCCACCCCACCTTGCTTCTCCGAGCGCAAAATGACACCAGCATTCAGCGCGCCGTTAAGCACCATTAACTAGCCAACTAACCTCGCTTCCCCCCTGCCCCCGTCACCATGCTCTCACTCAACCTCCAGCCACGAAGACGGCGACGGCGGCGGCGGGTCGACCGGGGAGACGGGCTGGCAGGGCCGGTGGGTTCCGGCCGGCCAGTGGCGGCGGCAGGGTTGTTGTTGTCGGCGCGCGGCCCGCTGGCCGGCGGTGACGCGCCGGCACCCCGCCGCCGGCCCGGCCCGCTTGTTTTCGCACCGTCTCATTAGGACGGACAAATCATGGGTCCGGCTAGGCCGCGCACGGGCGCGCCCAGGCGGCGCACCGGGGGGACGCCGTCACCGGCGTCGGCGGCGCCGGGGTCAGGCTAGGGCGCGGACGTGGCCGCCGGCGTCGAGCGACGCTGCGGGAGGGACGGGCCCGGCAGGTGTCGTCCCCCTCGCCGCTGAGGGTCCAGTGAGAGCGGCCGGGCGAAAGCGGCGACGGCGCTGCCTGGAGGCGCTCCTGGCCCGCCACCGCCAGGTGAGCTCTAACTGCACCCTGTTACGCACCCAGGAAAGCGAACCGCCCGCGGCCGGCACTCACTACTTATTTCAAAGTCCATTGGATGGCTATCGCTTTGATTCCACGTAATTACACGGCCATCCGGCCGCCGGTATAATTGGATGCCTGCGCGCCCGATCCGGCGTGTTCTACACGCGTTTTTGGTATTTGTTTATCATTTGAATGTGAAATTAGCCGGCGCTGATGCTTTGGCGATACCGCCGCGCCGGACAGCCTCCGCCGCTCTCTGAATGGCATTAGCGGCGCGCGCGGGACTAATGGTCACCGCGAGACGGCCCGGTGAGAAGTGGAGCGGGAGGGGGCGGCCGAGGGGACGCCCAAATTACCCGGCCGAGCGCGCGCCGGCGCGACACGCTGACCCTCGCGCCGGTGACCTGCGCAGATGCAGCCCAGCCGACCGCGTTAGTTATGGGAGCGTGGTGCGGTGTGGTATGCGCGCGCCCGCCGGCTCTGCACCTGTGCACTGGGCGGCAGCGCGTGCGCCGTGCAGAGGGTCACGCCGTCGCCTCCCGCTGTGTGATGATTGTCGATGTGAGGCTCCGGACCAGGACGGGGAGGAAGCCGGGTCCCAGCGTGCTGGGGAGGGATGCGCGGCTGGTGGACCTCGGGTCGTACGTGAACAATGGGCTCCGGGTATGCCAGGCTTGTTAGAAATACGGATGATTAGGAGATTGAATCAAACCATTGTCTCAGCGTCCTTACGGCACGCTCGCCTACTTCACCTTTTGGTTAGCTGATTACCGATATCTTGGAAGCGACTTACTTGAAACTCAATTCTAACCTGCACTTCACAAAATTAAAAGGATTTTGACAGTCAACCGATTGTCGCCCGTATTTGGTGCAGCACGAACCGTGCCGTTCCGTGCTACGACGCCAGCAAGCCGAAGAAGCGAGCCGCCACAGCAAGTTACCCAAGTCTGTCCCTTTCACCGAGCAATCGCCAGCTGGCGGCAGACCACAGTCCACTCCGCCACATCGGCCCAGCTGCCGAATGTCGACAGCAGCGCTGCCGGGTCCACCGCCCAGAGCCGAGGGCTTCCCAGTCGGTAGCGGCCAATGTCACGGCTCGGCGGCGACGTCATCCACATTGCGCTCGCCGCAGGCGCCGCGATC